CGTAAAATAAACACACTTATTAAGTTTAATACCATAAGAAAAATATTAAATTGGCTTACTTTAAACAAAATGTTGATAATCAGGGAATGCAGGACCGGGCAACACGTCTCTCTGCTACGTCAATCAATGCACTAACTTATGTGCTATTATTGCCATATGCTGTTGTTCAATATTAAATTTTAATACATAAAATAATGGACGTGTCCTTCTTTTCCTTATGCCCCATTTTACCGCAATTTCTCCTATAATATTGACATGGCCAAATTTGCAAATAAATTTCATAACAAATAATAATAAAAATCTCGAATCATGCAATGAAATTTCAATCTTTGGTTCAGAGCCTATACTCAATGATTGGAAAAATAGAGGTATGTCGCGGGGCCTAAATTTAGGCCTCTTGCAAGTGGGAATTTATCTGAACACTTTTTACATTTTTATAGTGAAAACATTTGAAGTGAACACCAAACATTTGCATCGTGTGGTGGGTGCACATGGTTCGGATTAATCCAAAGGCTCAGTTCCTTCATCTTGAAACATTCCATCTTGTTTACCTAAGTAAATCTCTCAGCGTCTACTTTCACTTAATTTCATATTAAATGATGATAATTTATACAGATGTGCTTCCTGAGCTTTTACTTATAAACAAAAACGGAATGCATGTTAAAATCAAATAATTAACTTTCGTTCATTCTTCGAGAACATTTCCCTGTCAAAATTTTCGTGCTGATTAAGGTCGTTTTAGAGGAACTATATATATTCGGCTTAGGGGTGAATCAGGAGCAAGTCGGCCACGTAGGGTGTTTTGCTTCTATTTACCAGCCTCTTTTGGAAGTCAATTGCCCGGTAGGCCAAATCTGCGTAATATGCTTAAAATGAGCAGCTGGTCAAGCTTCGTCATGATGCCCCTGGTCAAACGCTGATGGCGCTACCGCATGATGGGGCTGGTCAGTCTGAACAAGGTAAACGCACGAACAATCGAAGTTCCCGTCATACGGAGGTATGCGGGTATGTGCATGGGGTTCTACCTCCCGCACCCCCCATCCGGACAGAGCATTAACCGTTGCAGCAATATGAACTTATGAAGGCGCCAGTTTAGATCGAACCGTGAATCGATCAGTACCTAGTGAAGAGTGCTCATTGCTCAATGTACAGGGTGCGGCGCGGGAACTTACTTATTTGAATTGCGCGCCACGTGGCGGCCATTAGTCCTAGGAAGGTGGCGCCATGCGCAATATGGTGCGCGGGCTATGAAGTTTTTCGTCCACTCAGTTCAGTTGCGACCATGCAGTGGTCGAGAGAGGAGCGATAAGTAAACCCAACGAAACTTTAAATGTAGCTCTTTGTAAAAAAGAAAGAATTAAAACGCTATCTTTAATACTTTTTACTTTGTGATTTTTTTAAAAGAGTAAGTTCCCACGCCGCACCCTGTATATCGAAAAGGTACTATTATAGTTTTGTCTCATTCAGAGAGCTTTAAACAATTTGATGCTTTCAGAGAGCTTCAAACAATTTCCTTAAATTATGACGTATTTGACTGGAAAATTTAAATTATGATGTTAGGGACCGCCTTTAAATATAGTAATTTCATAGATGGTTAGGTTACGTGTTTTGTCACTTTGTTTTTGAGTTAACTCTTACATGACCTCTTGTAGACCCGCCTTGTATCTTGTCATTGGTGTGTGATCCACCACAGAGGTTAGTGCTTGTATTGTGTTAATCTTCAGTATTGATATAGTGGTGGCTTTTTTGGTGATATTAAATATTGTTATATTAGTTTATCATTTATGTGTGCTATATTCATTTGTTATGTGTTGCGTTAATTCAAGTCCTTAATTTACATTTATTTGTGTTTTTTCAGCGGGGCTTCGAACTTAGGACGTGATTAGGAATTAGTGGGCACGGGCTAGAAAGACACGCGGTTTATTGTTTTGTAATTTGTCTTCTTGTATTTATCGTTCGTTTATTATTATAGTTCGTTATTTATCAGATTTTATTCATCCCTTTTTATTTGCGATCATTGGCCAAGTGTTCGGGGTCAGAGAATGTTTATTTATTGACTAGTCCCCAACAATGAAGGAAAATTTGTTAAGTTTTTCCCACGAGTATTTTATTAAGATGTAGTTGTATGGTGTATCTTTCACCATCACTTCTTTCAAAACGCAGCAATCATACGATGCAAGTTATTTTTTCGACAATAATAGAAGATTTCATGCGGAATATGCTCTAAATCAGTTGTTATTTGATCAGTTCGTTGCAATAGGTACTTCTCAAGTTCTCGTCGGCAGGCGACATTCATCATGACCACGCATTTGTGTGAAAGATTTTGGCTGCTGTAGAAATTTTCAACTTGGGGCATGTCGACACGAGCATGTTATTTAAGCTGCTCCTGTTCATATGCTTGAGGTTTTAATTTCTATAAATCAACGCGTCAACTGGATTAGTGTAGTCGGAACTCGAAAGCTCACCATTGCCTAGGATTCTAGCGTACCTAACCAACTGACAACACTCGATACTACTGGGCAGTGGGCGGGCCAGCTGAACAAGATGGAACAGGTTGCAGAGCGTATACCGATTAGTCGCAAGTAAGTTAGTTGCTTTTTTTCCGTTCTATCTACTCTATTTTGTTGTATCATCAGGCTTCATTATGGAGTTACATTCAAGTATAAGGATGAATTTGGTTATTTCTGAAGAACTACTAAAAGTACAAATTATACGAAGATGGATTCAGAAAATGTCCATCGAGCAATATTGAATTGGTATTAGACGTTAGAATTTAGAAATGCTTCTATTCTTCATTTTTCAGCAGTTGCAAGCAGTATTTTCAGACCCCGGTAAAATTTTTTGCTAGACGAATGGTTTCTTCAACCAAAGAACTGTTCAGCTTTGTGCATATGTCTGCATGCTTGAGCTTATTGCTCAAGCAAAAGATAGCTTATGAACTATTTACTTTACAAGGAGCCTCTCTGTGAGCAACATATTTGATTTGAGGATTTCCATAACTATCGTTTATTCCGCTATTTATTTGATTGTCTCTCCAGGAATTAGGAGTGCAGTTGATAACTTAGATGCTTGTAAAGAACTATATGTGAAAGTCAATACCAACTGTCATTGCAGCAGCCGACGAAGGATGCAGAAAGATCCTCACTTGCTATGAACTGTGAACAACTGAAAGCTGCAATCAAGTTAGTGCCGTATCTAGATTTTGTTAAGATTAACATGTGCTACTCCCTTCTATTGTGTGATCTTTCGTCAATAAACGCAGAAATTCGAGGCCCTTGCAGAACTGTTTGCTCTATAGAAATTTAATGTGACGAAAGGTAAATGGAATGAAAAGGCAAATAATTAAACGATTATTTTAAGAACAACGTTGTTCATTCAGTAGGATACATGGATTTTAGGAAAAATTGGCTTGACTTGCATTACCTCGAATCGGGGATACCTTTTGATGTATCGATTGAATTTTTTTATCTGCGATTATTGCCCTCTTTCTAACCACGCCATGTCATAAAAGTTACTAGCTGTAAACGTCTTTGCATGAAATTGAGCCTCTGTTAGACTGCTCTGATCTTAAAACTGAGCGAGTAGTGCAATATAGACAGCATATATACATAACGTACAGAGATTGAAATGCCCCCTCCCTTCCCCCCCATAAGGGGGGAAAGGAGGGGGCATTTTTTAAGCATTTTTCATATTCGGCCGTGTCTGTCCCGAACGTATCAGGTACCAAATACGCGCGCCCCACGATCGCCCCAAGCTCGGCGAGTGATTTCACAAGATTCCATTTCGGCGCTTATTTCGTTACGGCAACCGGAACCTAAAGCGGACATAGAGCTTCTAATTTACCCTGCCATAAGAACTTGGGGCGTCCGTGTGCCAGCGGCTGACAGGTCTTCGAATTTCGATAGGGTAGTTAATTTGCGTTGGTGATGATCATTTGGCGCACAAATTAGTTGCTGACCCGACGACCCAGAATCTAATAACGAAATTGCAAGTCTAATCATGAAAATAGTGATGATGAAACAAGTCCCAGGCCTCAAATTAGATGATGCAAATAAAATACGTAGTAATTGATAGCGTATATTTCACAGTAGACGTTTTATTTGTATTACTACCGGTGCATGATTTTTTCCCTGATCGATATAATATTCCAGGCACAATCTGAGTTACACGCATGTTATACCACGTTTCACTCAACTATCACTTTCATTTGAATATACGTAATATACTTTCCGTACCCGATCCTAATCTTTTTTAGACAAATTTAGGTACTCTTAGGAGTTAGGGTAATATTTTCTTTCTGTCTAATTTGAGCGCTACGCTCATATATATTGCAATAGATATATTTGACAGAACTTGCCAACTTTGTAGTCTTGGCAGTGTACCGTTACACCTCATTAATAGTGCAACTGAAATCTTATGTATACTTTTAAAAAATGTAGGAAGAACCTCCTAACATTTAGAAAGATGATACCCCACCAGGTCCACTGGTATGTCACGAGACACTGAGTCACTCTAGTCAGTGAAGAACTGAAAGATGTCGTGAGAAATGCCTTCCTCTGCTTTCTATAAACAAAAACATGGCAATGTTTGTCTACAAAAAGTTAGTATATCTTTGCAACTGTTACTTGGCGGTCACACTGTCAGTTATCACAATTAGTACTAACAAAGTCTATTGCAGAGACTATAGTAGTTCAACTATTATTTTGTATTCATTCTAGATAAGTATATATAAAAAGGCTCAACGTCAAGCGCCACAATAAATCTGAAATAATTCTCGACGGAAATTTCCCGCTGCTCCGTGGCTGCCCATTGAATTCACGAATGCGTAGCTCACGCAATCAAATTGTTTTATCCTTTTTCTGATCGATTGATTGGAATTCGAATTATTGATTATTTAATTATTATCAACAAGATCTCAAAGGATCGTCCGCGCCTCAATTAATTTGTGGACTGCGCCTATGTTCTTCCAGATGACCTGTCATCGTCCAGTGACGAGAGCGATGAACAGCCTCCTGCCAGAGACGTTCAAGTGTCCGAAAAAGCGCAAGAGAGACGAGAGAGAAGGAGGAAGAGGGCCCTTGCAGAAGGTCGACGCATGCGTCGGCCAAAAGGCACCATTTCTCAATTCGCCGTACCACTTTTTAGCACTTCAGGGAATGAGGGAAACAGTTCAGCCTCAACCCCGAGGCTATTAAAAGCCGCCGCCGCCGACGACGGGCTTTAAAAACCTTGACTGCAGAGGATTCGTCTGATTCTGCGAAATCATCGGGAAGAATCAGACGTTACAAGGAAGGAGAGCTGCGTCCGCCACCTGGGACAGTGCACGGAATCCATATTTTCAAAAATGTAGCTGCGAGAGACCAGAAGCTTGGCAAAGTGAATCCAGCTCCATGCAAGGCCAACCCTGTCCTTGCGGAGACCAATGACGCAGAGTTGGAGAAGTTGCTGGTTGATGCTACCTCGATGCTACACCGAACCGAGGAGTATCTTTTGAAGATACGGACAAGAACGACCATTAATGAGGCCTTTGCAGCGGCGAGGTTTGTAGGAGTTTTCTCACAGGGAATCCTAATATGAATGTTCAATTGTTCTTGCCTTATAACATTGGAAATAATGAAATTTTTCTTGACTTATACGATTATTATATGCTCTCGTGTCTTCTCTTGGCAGGGAGAACGTAGAAGGCGATGCATCGGAAGACTATCCTGCGAGTGCTGTATCTGGGCCGTGTGCTGTAAACCCTATGAAGGCAATGTTCAAGCGCACGCCGATAAGTCTATCTGATTGTAATCAGGAAGATTGTCTAATTCCATCATGCAATGGCAGGGCTGTCGTCAAACATATGCGTCGGCATTATTAGTCGGCACATAACTTCTTACCTGATCATGCCATCAAAATGCAAAGCTACCACCGTAATCTCATTGATTCGTGCCAGATGTTGATTTACAGCCTGCAAGCCAGGCCTTGAGCGAGGCATTGTTGCCGTTGTCTATTGTTAACGTTATTGTTGACGGCCTTGGCAGGGGTAGTGTTCTAAAGGATCAGACTAATAGGATTCTCTCAGGACTAGTAAAGCCTGGACATGATGGAGCAGCAACGAGCAGCACTGCTAGATCCAGTGCAGAGATAGACTTGTCGACTTGCCCCCCGTCTCAACCAGAACCACAACCTCTGCAGCCTCAACAGTCTGAAGATGAAGATCTGGAGGAATACGATAGGTTCAGGTACAAGCACCTTCGCAAGGGCGAAAAGCCTAAGTTGCGTTACCTTACCCTCTGCCCTAGTAGCCATAAGCCTTTGACTACTGACTAAAAACTCATCTCCTGAACACAGAGGATCTCAGCGATGAAGCCGTGGAGTCTGCTTACGAATGTGCTCGAGTCCACGAGGAGCTCGTGTGGCTAAATGATATTCCAACAATGGGAAAGGCTGTCGCGAAAATCACTCCTCCAGAGAAGGTGAAGGAATTACGTCTAAAATTCACAAAAGGGCATGTCTCCCTCCTCGACATTAAGATGATTCCTACAAAAGTGATTATGCTGTCGCCAAAACCAGGCCGCTAGCTATTTGAGAAGCGAATTGGACCACCGCTGGTGAATCAAGTTATCTTCCATTACGAAGATATACGCTTCCTTATATACGCTTCCGAAGCTTGCTTCGACGATTCCTTGTCGGACGACGAATGTCCTCCCCTCGACCAGAGAGTCGTGTATGGCTTCATACTGTCTATTAAACATCCCAAAGAGCAAGCGAGAAAATTAGTCTACCAACGGCTGGGGAAATCCTTAGCAACGTACAAGCGACTTTTATAGTGAAATTACCAAGCATTACAATACGTTTCGTTTTCAATCTCCATATATAGAAACAATTGACAGCCCTTGTACAATCGCTTCAGTTTGAACATTTGATTCCAGACAACCGCAAGATGGCAAAGCCTTCTACATTATTACTGCTAATGACACCGAAGCGTTACCATCTCTTCACCGCGCCTAATGTGCCTGTCTTCGGTGCATGGGTCGCGGTGTACGAGCCTCAAGCAGCAGGCGAAATTCATGGGATCCCGGTAATATCGACAGTCACATCGCTTGTGCCTATAAAGCTATCCCCGGATACCTCTAAGATAAAGTTGAGAACAGCGGTCGGCAACGTGACAGCATACGAATCGGTACAAACCTTCCTTCTAGAGGTGCCGGCTGGTCGCGTCCGACTGGAAGCCTCGGGTTTGTCGCCGGCTTGCTCAGCGATAATGTGCGATAGTGCGCACAGAACGACGCTTGACAAAGTCAGATGTCCTACCATGGCTGGAGGACGTTAGGGGAACAAAGCAATAACCTGCACGGTTTCAATACGAAAACATGGCATAAACCGTGCACCGTAGTGTAGCGAAATCCTAGCCAAGCTGATTATTTTTTAAGACGACCCTGCAGGGTAATTTCTTACGACACTTTTTACTTGGATGAAGTAAGATAAGAAGCTCGCAATTCTCGCATATCACGAATGAACATATAAATGCATAATTTAAATTCTTGCAGACAGGGCAAGAAATATTTTTTAAAGAAATCTCATTTTTGAAATAATATTTTTAGTCTGCAGATGTGGATCAAGACTCCTATCGGGAAGGTGTGAAGAAAATATTGCAGAAACTGAATGAAAAAGGCGTCCATTTCATCGTTGCTGGTTGGTTGGTCGATTGATTTTCAAGACGCCAGGTCACAATGAAGCCGCTGCCCATAAGCGCAACATTCACATCTCGGTGCTGCGACCTAAGAAAATGCCAAGATCAATAGAGCTCCTTAATTTTCCACCTAACGCCCAGCAAAATCCCGTCGCAACTGCAAGCGCTGCTGTGCCGCAAATTACAATGGCTCGTTTTATGACAGGAAACCGGCAGGACTCTTCGGATGAAGAATTTCAAACGGGAATTGATCTACACAGAGACTTCGACGGGACCTCCGCAGGATCATCTCGCTACACTGCGCAGAAAGAAGTTCCCGTTGCACGGCCAACGATAAGAAGCCCCGTACGCAGACTGTAGAAGACCTAGACGAGATTAATTTGACAGATCAATGCGAAATAACCGTAGGAGAACAGGAAGATGAAATTTCTTAATAATATTCAATTTCATCACCTTGCCCGATTATTTTTGTAGTATCCTTACCCAATTTTACATACCAGTTTTATTAGTTTTTCGAAAACTTAAATATATAAACTCCTAAATTAAGAGTAGATACCGGCTGCAGTATTTCACAACCTTTTTTAAACTGTCATTGGTCTGGATGGCAATTGTTGTCCGAGGGCAATTTCCAGGTAAATTACGCAACCTCCAAGATGCATGCCAATGCATGAATGTCGATGATGACTGAATATCCCGATACAGACACTAGATTTCGCAACCATATGTAGTTCATTGGTTGGACAACTACCTAAATTTAAATCGAAACCCTTATCGGTGAAAACTAGCACCATCCTCGCACATATCATGCTAAACGAAACTACGTGGCCGTGTTCATCAAAACGTGCAGAGAACATTAGTTGATGAATATCCCAGGATCTATCGTCAGTCCACTGCTTCGGAACATCGACCCTGCATCTCACCTACAAAATGACGTCTTTCTAGGCATCATCCTTAAGTTCAAGTTATTTCATAGTTCATGGGCAAGATATATGTACACAGTGCGCACCAACCAGCTCGACAACCGCTATGTGAACAATTTCAATTCGCTCAAATACCATGGACCGCAGATTATGGCTATACAATTTTTATTGTAGCGAGAAAACTACGCTCCATACACAAAGTTTCGGGGTCTCTGCAAGCGGGCCCTAACGTACGATGAATCAAACTGGATCAGATAACTTTCACAGGACTTAAGGTTTACTTAAATTTCATGGACAACCCGCATCCACGACATAGGGCTATCACTAATAGCATTTAGGCTTACGAATACAGACATTGTATGGACATTAAATACAGATCTTTGCAATCTGTATAAAGTGTGGTAGGTCAGGCAAAGGTAGGCTGCCTAATCGCAATGAGCTGCTTCCCATGAAAACTACCTACGCCTACTTTTTTTCTTCGGTCTCCGTTAGAGAGGTGCGGCGGCTGAAGAAAACTAATAGCGCGGCCAAGGCTGGCCCGCTACATTATGAACCTCACGTAACGCGTAATAAAATCTCTACGGTAGAGGATGCAATGAACAGATCTGCTAAGTGAACGAAGTTGAATTGCAATGCTGACATGAATGACGCGAAATGAAACGTAAACTAAGTTATACATTGAAGCATTACAAATGTACACTGAAATAAAAACATTTGAACACATTCTCAACAAAGGACTGGGATCAGTTGTTACTATGAAAAGGCTTAGCCTAATGAACTAGTAGTAATTAACGTTGATTTTGCAACAGGTCCTAGATACTAAGATATTATAAAAATTGATATGAAGGTTGTTGTAATATGAAAAACGATTTAAATGTAGCACAGAAACACACGACACTAAATTGCAGCTCGTCGACTTAGACTAACCCAGACTTAACCCATGTTTAAAAGAACAGATGAGAGAACATAATCTCATCCATTGTCAGCGATTTAATGAATCCGTTAGCATATGGTAAAACGCACATTGAAAATACATAGAAAAATCAGCGAAATGGCGAATTCTGGACACTTATCATGACATTAGTCCAATTACATGACTTTGTAGTGAACTTAGTAAACGGATGTGTGTGATTTGAGAAAAATTTCGTATACATGTTTGTGTTTCTCAGACAATTTGCTTGGTCGTAACCTTATTCAATCAGCTGAATAATCAAGAATTTTTTTGACGTCAGCGTGATATCGCTATTGATTCTTACTATGATATCTTCAGAAAATAATTTCATGCGATTGTTTGATGCTTCATCGAAATAAGGTCTGAAGAAATCATTTATGACGGGACTGCAACTATGGCCTTGAGCTTTTCGCTATCAACTTCATCTGACGCGACCTTGTAACATTGTTGTTGCCGGAGCCGCGTGGTGAGAGAATATATCTTCATTGTCGGCAAACCGTAGCTCATGCCGTGAGTAGCTAGCCAGTTGCTGGCCGAAGGTTCTGAAGTGCGTATCAAGTTGCCAGTGTTTACATTATCACAGTTTGCATCTTCGGCGTTGGCGAAGAAAGGTGAAAAACTATGAAAACGTTTTATTTTTTTTTTGCAATTCTGTTGCCCTATAGTCGTTCATGAGTCGGGTACTCGGGGAGAATTATTAGGGTTTAGTGCAACAATCCGGCGGTAGACTTGTCTTGAAGGTTACTGCTGAAGCTTATCAAACTTCAACGTAATCATATCATTCGAATATTGTAGCCTACCATCAATACCTATAACTTCGTCACCTAAGTCACCGGCTACTAACAGAAACAATCTATTTTATAAACAAAATTGGACCAAATATTTCCAGCGCGATCAAAAATGTAAAAAAAATCATGTGGCTGCTATAGAACCCTGCAAATCGCGCATGGTTGAACTAATACTAATGAATACTAATAATAATGAATGTATGGTTCAACCATGAAATCTTAGTTCTAACTAATACCTATTGTACGGTTTTTGGAGATAAGCGGCGACATGTCTAAAGTTTCTGCTAAGTGGCGACGGGGGACCTATGTGTCATTGATGGTAGTTTGAGCGCTTGAAATTATATATTTACCCTCGACACTGTAGTGTCATTATTCAGCAAGGCTTTGCAGAATGCAGAGCATGCTTTCAGCACCAATCTTTATCTCCATGTTGGATCCAATACATCAGTTACCATGCACTAAGAGCATATGCCCGTTGTTTGAACAGTAATGATTGCTTTAGACCTGGCTTGATAAAACGTTCTAAATTTAGAATTGATTGGTATCCATTACCAAATTATTGTACACCACCAATGTTAAATTAAGTAACGATAACGGAAACCCATATAACTATTCATTATGTCGTCAAAATTTTCCTTTATTTCGCGCTGAATTAACTTTATATCACCGCCCGCTGGTAAAATGCTGGTCGAGACTACATTATTATAAGTGCATATAATACTTTTGCTGTGTATTTAGCGCGCAACTACACAAGATAAAGCCGTAGAGAAGAAGGCTTTGGATGGATTTCATTTGCTTTTAGATCATATTTTCATGTAATCTGTTTAGGTCCAGCTAGTCTCATTTGAACATGCTTGTCAGACGTCAGTTTTGATCGTTGAATGACTTCACTCTACGGCTAAACCGCATTGAAAAATCGCATTCATTCCTTTGATTGCATCTTACGATAGTATTAAAGAAACGTCACTGTATTTTACCACGTTTTTCTTAGCTCGCTTTCGTGTCTGTGATGATCAAATCTTGCAATCGATATTTCACCAACTTTCCCATTAACTAGCGCTCGGAAACTTTTAGGGAAGCTCAGCTCCCGATAACAATACAATAATCAATGATTTGTTGCACGTTTCCAGGCGTATAAACTCTAAAGGAACTCAGAAGCAGGGGTTGGAACCTTTAATGCACGTCATCCTCGAGAGGATATTCGTGTTTAGACTGCGTATATCGATGATACGCTTCGTATCATCGATACGTACATCAAGTCAAGTAAATTGGCTCGCAACAACGTGTTTCGTGTGTAGCAACGACAAAAGACCAAGAGAATGAAAGCAAACAGAGATCAGTAGCTGCCGAAAAATTATTTTCTACTTATGAGTCCACATGAAAAACGTGGTCTTTAAAATTTTTTTTTATACATTTTATTATTGCAATCTAGTATATTGCGAATGTATGAATGAATGTTGAACAGAAGAAGATGCACCAAAAGTCAGCAGCTGTGAAGCTCTTCTGAATATATATGAGTATTGTGCGAGCAGAGCGTTGGCCGCCATATTTTTCAGCCACACCTTCTTCAAGGGAGGCGGGTGTAGCTTGGCGTACCGAAACAATTAATTAGTAAAAATATTTCAATCCTTCCTGCACAAATAATAATTTCTGCAGAGTTGAAGCGTTAGCCTAACTTGCTAGGTCTAGGTTATTGAGGTAATGAAAAGACGTATACATGCTTTTGATTCACCCTTCAATCAAGGGGCAGGGTGGCCTAGGTATGTGGTTACAGTTTGTAGTAGAAAGCAAGATATAGGAGCAGAGAGGTGCGGGTTCGATCCCAGCTCTGGGCGCCAGTTTCTGGTCAGATTCGGCTAGAAGGCAAGACGGTTAGCAGGGCAAAATTGGAAGAGTGAGTTGCGTGCTCGAGAGCACAACATGCTGTGAATGTTCTGCGATGTTGAAATTCGGCGACAGGCTTACGGCCCAATCAACACTGAAACCGCTTTTATTATTCAGTTGCGCGTCCGATGGTTACGCTCTGCAGCGCTTTCGTACCTCTAGCGCCCACATTATACTTTTCACTTTCAAGTGAACGTGACAAATTGTTTTGATAATATACATTTTTGTATTGATAGTTCTTTCCCTGTAATGTTCATCGATGAACCAAGTTTGAAGCAAGCGTGTGAGGAATGCAAATAAGAGCACGCCAAGCTAGCCTACAAACAACGCGAATCCCTCGGAGCTCTGGGCCTATACTTTAAAAAAAATTAGAGAGATCGTAAGTTCATCAGCCAATTATTGACGGCCTTTCAAGCAAATTCCACCAATCATTGACAAGAAAATAGAGCGTAAGTACTTACGTTCACTTAGCGAGTCTTGAAAGTATGGCCCCTGCAAGAGTGTACGAGGTTCACGCAGCGATGAGATAATGTCCCCACAGAGAGTTGAGACAATGTCCCCACAGAGAGTTGAGACAATGTCCCCACAGAGAGTTGAGACACTGTCCCCACAGAGAGTTGAGACAATGTCCCCACAGAGAGTTGAGACAATGTCCCCACAGAGAGTTGAGACAATGTCCCCACAGAGAGTGGTGACAATGTCCCCACAAAGCGATGAGAAAGTGTCCCAACAGGGCGGTCTGGGAGTCGCAGGGCCCCAATGTTGTGGTACACCACACGATCCTGCCTGGCGAAGTCTGCCCCAGCCTCACGCCGTTCGCTGTGAAGCTCGAGTCTTTCTTCAGACTCGCAAAAATTGACTACAAGGTCAGCGAAAATTCATGTACTGTCTTTTACTACTTTAAATACCGAACGAATCTTCATTTACCGTCTTTTACTACTTTAAATAGCTAGTTATATTTATTGTTTGCTGATGTGGTTTTTCCGACATCTATTTTAATCTACTTGACTACATATCAATCGGTGGTAGTTTAATTCATTCGAACATTAAGGCTGAAAATTAGACCTAACGTTTGTCCTATGGATTATTTAGGAATTATGAATAAAATAAAAATAAAATAAAATAATGAAAATTCAATATGAAAAGTGTGCTTCTAGTATCTAGTAGTATTATTTCATGAAATTGTTTGATATTATTACCTGTCCCCCAGAGGTTGACAACCCATCTAAATCAAAATTATTGAAACATTTTACAATTCTTAATTTTGTTCAGAATGACTATGAGGAGCCCATGGGCCCCAAGAACAAAGTTCCGTGGATCACCATCAACGGGGAAGATATTTCGGACTCTGAGATCATTATTGACAGGTTGCAACAAATGTTCAACATACATCCGGACGCCAGCGTGCCTCTTGAAGAGAACGCCGTTGCGACTGCCATGAGGATCATGATGGAGGAGCACTTTTACTGGTCAGAAATTATTTGTTGACGTGTTCTGTTGCTTTACGTTTTTGTTAGATTTATTTGAACTATTCAAGGTTAATTTTAAATATGAGAACAATTTAAATCTTTATAACCTTATTGAACTCGAAATATAGATAAAGATCTTGGCTGTGAATATGTCATGAGCTCGTTAGAAAGATGCCGCTGTACAGGGGTCTGGTCTCATGGCGATACGATGAAGATGCGATGAACGGTCTGTTCAAAGTATTCAAACTGCCGCTATTGCAGCGACATCTGATCAAATCATACCGAGGTAGAGTGCAACGAATGCTCTACAATCAAGGCACTGGACGGCACTCGTTTGAAGAGGTGCACTCGTTCATGAAGAAAGATCTGGAGGCGCTATCTGTATACATCGGTAAGCCACTTCTTGATTTGCGTCCAAATTACAGATACTAAATCTTAACTTCGATCAATTTATTGAGTAGCCACTAACTTGATTTTTTTTTTCATAAGTAGAGTTAATGGTAATTGTCGTTATGCCATGCCATCATCTAAGGTTTCTCCTGCAGGAGATAAAAAGTTCTTCCATGGCGATGACATTCACGTGGTGGACTGCGCCATTTTTGGAGCTCTCACTCAGATCGTCTACAACAGTCCCGGCAGTCCCTACACAAGATTACTTAAAGGTAACTCTTCTATTTATTATTCTAGAAATGAACATTAAAAACAAATTGCTCATTGTTTTTATTGTCGATTCGACTTCTCGTGGGAGTTCGTTCTTGGGTCACATTTTCTCATTTACAATTCTTCGCTTATTGAGCTCCTGAATCATTGACTTCCGTTCAGACATTGACTCGTGTCTCTGAAGTGTTCGACGAGACAAACCTCGACTGGAACCACATCTTGTATTGACTATATTACTGGTCCGTGGAATGTATGCACGAGTTATTTTTGTTATGTAATTAATAATGTTTTAAATATTAGTACCATCGTCCAATTCCCAAGTTCAGGCGATTTTAAGTTATCTCAGTTATTCCGCACAGAGCAAGAATTTATTATCACGGTTTAACTTTTTATGACCAGGCTCTCTATATTGTCGAGAAGAAATACAATTGACATCAAGGCTTTGAAAACGATCTTCTGAAAACAGAAAATTTAATAGCGAAATAATTAGGCTGGTTTTGGTAGAAAATGTCAGCCCTTCTTCGCGGATGTAAACAATCTAAGGTTGAATTTGTTAAGTACTCTGCTGCATCGGATTCGTACACTCTACACATAGGTGTTGTCGTAAGTCCCTGAAAGGATTCTCGGTAAGTTCTATGCGTCTTAGAACTTGTTGATCCTTTACCAGTAATGTAATGTACTGTTCATGTCGGCCCACAGATAAATACTCCAACCTTCTGGCCTACACGGAGCGCGTCAAGCAGCGTCTCTGGCCGGACTGGGACGAATATCTTGTAAAGAAATGAAGTCTTGTTCATATTTACAGCAAAATAAGAGGGGTAATCGAGATAAATTGTATGATTTGAAGTTCATTTGGTGAACACAAGTCAATGAAGGCGAGCTATAGATCCTGATCCCCGCAGTTTTTTCTACAATAACAAGCCAAATTTTTATTTCCTAAAGTAGTTTTGATCGAATAATAAATGACAACATATAAACGAGCAGTGTATCACTCAAGAGAGCGTTCAGTAGAAGATCAACTTGGTCAACAATTTAACACCTGCTTCTCCTGAAAGATTAAATTGGCAATCGCAAGTCAGGCTCTTAACGTCTCACTTGATGATAATGTAGTTAATAATCATAATCACTTGTAATTCGCTAGCTCGACTTGCGGCGCCGTGGAAACTCGGAGAGGACCTGTTAAAATTAACACGAATAACTTTAATAGGTCTCGATTTAATGAACAAAAATAAATTCGAAGCATTCACTGGCATTCAGTGCTTATAAAACGGTATTCTTGAACTGACACCGTGAATAAAAGTGCAAGTATAGCTTAATTTGTACATACCATTTCAAAAAATATCTTGATTAAGCTGCCACGATGAGAGGAGGACGAGGAAGGGGGTTGGTTTTCTCTACTACTTGTTCAGATTTTACAGCAACCTTCCCTAATTAAATAATTTTCACGTATTATGGGGTTGGAATAAAGGCTGTGAAGCTCAGCGATTTTATTGGGGTTTGAAAAACGCTGACGCTGACCAACACCTGTCAGCGTTGGAAGGTTGTTGGAATAAACATGACATGAACACAATAGAATAACAAGATCAAAAGAATTAAGAAAATACACATGGTGATATAGGTAGTGTTGACAGTTACACTGAAATATTTTATTGAATTAAAAGAATTGAATTCTAGTGAAGAACTTACCATCTTATTCTTAGCAGATGTTCACCCCACGACGTCGTCCAGAAAATGACGCTAACTCGCGATTGGCTAATTTTTACCCGCTGGCGCAGGCCAAAACGAATTTACAATATATGATGGTACGATTTAAAAATAAAATAACTTCGTGTTTTACTGAATTTTTTCATTTAGAAATTACACGAGTGTTGTTCGTGCTCAGGTATTGACTAGATTTTAATGACCGAAAATTTCATAATTATTTAGTAGCCAAATGATGAATTACGAAATAAGGAATCGAGTTCAAGATAATTGAGTTATATATAGTTACAGAAGTTGATAATCACGAATTTGATGGTTTAAAACATTAATCACGACATGGTCAAGAAATGATAGCGCGAGTTATGCATGAATACGAGTCACTACAAGGATGATAAGAGTAAGGAGGATGATAAGCAGAGAGGAGAAAGATAAGCGGAGAGGAGGATGATAAGCAGAGAGGAGGATAATAAGAGTGAGGTCTTGAGGAGTGGAGGGTTGAGAGAGGGGAGGGTGGGAAGACCAAGGTGACCGTGCCGAATGTTCTTAGTACACTGTTTCTGTTTTTCTTTTATGATGTTGATATGCAGAAGGGAATGTTTTAGTCTTTTAAGATTGTTTGAATACTTGTTAATTGAGCTTTGTTAACTGTCGAGTATGAAGTGAATTTTTAATTTTTTGTCGCCATTAAAAGAGCTTCTATGCAGCGTGAATGACCGATTTAAAGGTCTTAACTGGAGGTCAGCGAGCACCCGATTCCAACTCCATGAATTGTCGCGCTCATTGACCTAGCAGGGAAATCCGCCCATTGCTAGTTAGGGGAAAATCTTTCCATCATCACTTCATGGCAATGACTTCATCCCTAGGCGAAGTGAAATCATGACTTTTTTCAGATTTCTACGTCAATTACTTTTTGTTAATGCCACAAAATACTGAAACTTGACCTGACTAGGACCTAACCTGCGAGGTGAACGTGTAGTTAGGTTTTCCGCGATAATAAAAAAGTAATGAATGTAAAAATTTGAAAAAATTCCGTCCAAATTTGAATAAAATCCGTTCATTATTGACGGATTTATGAGTGCCTGAGTTGAAACCGAAGTTAGGTTTTGCATTCGAGTTCGCTGAAGTGTCGATTCGGTATAAAACTTCTGGTAAAATTAGTTGAGGTAATGTTTTCAGCAACAGTCGTCCAATTGGTTTCTAAAATGTATAGAGTTTTACGATGAATGTTTTTAAAAAAATCATTCATATAAATTATTAACTATATTCTATCCGCAAAACCGACATTTTTCATATTATTTGAATCTCTTGACTCAATTGGCATCTTCGAATGAAAAAGCTTGATTCGAATCGGCGTAGGGGAGGGTTGGGTGATGTTGACAATCAAGACAGGACGACGCCTTGACAGCAATTGTTGAATGTTGTAGTGCCAGTAGTGGTATTACTGGCATAGTTTGGTAGGTATGCAAATATTTTATTAGAGAAGAGAATATATATCTTTTGTTGCTAGCTTTTTTTATTTGCTTGGTTAAGGAAGGTTAAAGTATATTTGGAAATTTTAGAAAGGAAGCCCAAATATAAATTTATTCAAAATACAACAAAGAGTGAAAAAACTAACAGGTGAATTTGTCCCTTCACTCTCTTGTGAAATGTAAAGAAACAGTAATTGATGTCCATAATATGATAGTTGATTGTCCTAAATTGTCCCCAACCTCAGTACTAAATTGAAAATAAGTCATGTTCCACAATCCACATGGCCTGCACATGTCTATTGCCTAGGCCTACCTAAATAATAAAATGGTTGTGCAGCTTGTAAGTTGTACAGTTGTACTGTGTTTGGCAAGTGAAGTTGGCAAGCCAAATGGCGAGGTTCATAAATTCAATTAATTCATATTCCATATTTTAGCTCATAACCATAGTGGCAAAGCAGAGTTTTTTTATACTCTGCCTCAAGTTCACTTTTAAGTCTTATAAGTAGACCAGTAAAGTATCATGGATACCAGCATTATCATACATAAGATATTGGTTTAAATCTTGAGTACATGAGGAAATTAAAAATTGAACTGATTCTAAAGAATCTCTGGTTTGCCACTATGCTCATAACATAAGGATCTCGCATAAAATAATTTTCTTAGGGTAAACGCGGTATATTCCGACACTTTGAGGACGCATCGAGAAATGAAAAACGATAAAAAAAACCGTATTCATTACGTAAGTTCTGTTGCCTTCACATGACTCTCAAAACACTTCACTACGCGTCAGCAACGATGAAACGTCACAAAATGTTGCCAAATATTTTCCCGCTAGATGGCCAAGACCTAGTGTTTTTGCAGTATTTCGACACGCAAATGTATGCCGTCACCATTTCAACCATCAATTAACGCATGGAACTAAAACAAAGCTTAATATAAAGGAAAAACTAGAGAAGTGACGGAATTACCTACGATGTCGGAATATACCGCGTTTACCCTATGCATTATAATAATTTAGGTATGCACTATAGAATTCATATTTCATAATAGCACTAGTGGCAAAGCAGAGAGTTTTTTAGACTCTCCCTCAAGTTCATTTTTGAGTCATCTGAGTAGACAAGCAAAGTATATCATGGATACCAGCATTATCATACATAAGAAATTGGTTTAAATCTTGAGTAAATAAGGAAATTAAAAATAAACTGATTCCTAAAAATCTCTGGTTTGTCACTAAAACTCACTATGATTGTAGCAGAACAGCCACACTCAGCTGACTCAGGATGATGTATGTTTTCAGGGAATTTTCCCAAGCATTTTGACTTTTTTTAAGCCATTGCTGCGCACGTGTTTGCGCAATCCCGGTCATCAATTCTATGTCGCGCTGCCGCCAATGCCACGCAAGCATAGTGGCAAACATGGTGGTTTTTTAGCAAATCCTTGGGCATTTAGCCCCAGCAGACTCCAGCAGGCACTCCGCAGGCACAGTGGCGCTCCGAAGCAGAAAAAACCTAGATCCAGGTTTCTTGCTTCCCACTCGGTTTCTAGGTTTTTCATTAACAAACTGATCCTAATCTAATTTTTTTCAGAATGGTGCGCTGAAAGCAGAAATCAGTCAACAGTTACCATGGTCAGGAAGATGTGCCTGGTGCGTGGGAATTTATATTGTCATTTTAACGACCTGCGCGGTGCGCCGTACTATGCCGGTAAAAAAAATGCGCCGTGCGCCGACAGCGCCGTACTTTTAGAAAGCTAAAATAGTTTAAATATGGACGCGCGGCAATGCAAATTACGTAATCACACTGACCGTACACACAAACATGTATCCGCACTGTGTTGTGGTTGGATACAAGTTAACTAGATTGCTAATGCGTCAACTCAGGACGCAAGCACAGTAGTGTCAGCACAGTAAGTCAGCACAGTAATGTAATGAATATTCATTCATAGATCACAATTCAATCGGACATGAATTACAGAACTAAAGAAGGCAACATGGCTTTAGATGTGCCATCGGTGCCTTCTAATGAATGACTGGACTGGTTGAGGCAAGTAGGGTATGAACCTGTATGTCAACAGTACGATCCTCCCGGCCAGCAAAATCGACACGATCAATACCTAATAACAATGGGCGTAAATGGACTATACAAATTAGGTCAATATGGCATAATTACAGAGCGTAATTATGCTATGTGATACATAATATGAATATATATATTTGCAAGATAAGTCAATGGTCTGTCTTTTATTTTTGCTTCATTTGAGCAATAATGGTTTCCAAATCTGGGTGCGTTATGTTATGTCATGTGTACTTTGAATGTGCAAAAATTATAACTATCATATGAAAATTGTTANATCAGTATATAAAAAATCTGATGATATTATTTAAAAATTTAATAGAACGATGTGATTCTCACAAGAAAAATACTTTCCAAAAATTTTTTTTAAGAGAACTCGATCGTCGAGTTGCATCCTCATATTTACTTTAAGTGGTGTCAATAATCTTCTAGCGTTGAAATGTCATTAGACAGTGGCTTTTTTTATTTTTATAACTTGAAATGTGCCATAGGTAATGTTTAAATAATTTCTGATGAATTTTAATAATACAAATTGGCTTTTCTTCAAGTATTTTTTAATTTTACTGAGTAATATCAGTTAAAACTTGTATAAACAATCGTGAAGTGCAATACAGCTCGCCATTGTACCTTTCAACATAAAATTAAGAAATTAAAAGCAAAAAGCGGTAAGTTTTACGAACAAATACGTGTAACTGAGGTCATACTTATTATTAGCCAAAGTTTTCCTGTGCATGCC